CGCGCGTGGGACTGCCCTTGAGAGCTTTCCGTCATCGTGGAAGGGGGGGCACGCGGTGGGGGCGTTCAGGGTGGCCCAGCATGGGGACGGCTGGGTGCAGCTTGCCGCCCACCCACACCTCGCTGGCATCTCCCCGGCAGAGCCGTGCTGGTGCCCTCCAAGTACTCCATGACGGCGATGATCTTTGTGGTGATGCTCAGCTTCTACTACTTCTCCCGCCATGTGAGTACTGCGGCCCCGCTCCCCTCCCCAGGGCTGCAATGGGATTGCCTCTGTCCGTGCAGGAACCTGCCCGCCCACCTCCTGCCCCACGCCTGCCCTTGGGTCTTCTGCACCCACCGAGGGTTTGCACCTGGTTGTGGTAAAGGTCTGCTCTCCATCGATGCCTTGGCCCCCTCTGTGTAGCTCACCAGCTTGTAAAGCCACCCCGTTTTCCCACACCAGGATGGCACTGCTGCAGCGAGTGGCAGCAGTGTGGTGGCCCCAGATGCGTGCCTGCCCTGGGGACACCATGGTGCAGCTCTGTCTCCCCTGGAGCAGGTCTCACATCTCCCATCAGGGCTTGACCTCATCCCTGAGCCACCATCCAGCACATCTCCGCCGCTGGGGCAGTCCTGTACCATCCAGGAGGCTTGCAGCACCCCCCCCCCAAGAGGAGCCCCCACGGCCAGGGGGCACCTGGCAGTGCCGTGGCACCCTTCTCCCTCCCACCTGCAGGTGGAGAAGCTGGCCAGGACCCTCTTCCTCTGGAAGATCGATGTCCACGACCAGAAGGAGCGGGTCTACGAGATGAGGCGCTGGAACGAGGCCCTCGTCACCAATATGCTGCCTGAGCACGTGGCCCGGCACTTCCTGGGCTCCAAGAAGCGGGACGAGGTGAGGGGACAAGGGGGAGCAGACACCAGCTCTCCGCAGCCGCCCGGGGTGGGTGCAGCCCGGTGCCACGAGCAGAGGCTGCTGTGGGGTCCCAGAGCATGGTAAAACTTAGCGATTTCCAATCAACTTCTTGTGCTTGGCATCCAGACCCAGATGGCTCTGTTGGACTTGTGCAGGGCTCTAGCTGGGCAGCTCCAGTTGGAGGAAGGTGATGGCTTTGCCATAGCAGGAGAGGCCTGCAGGTCACCCTCATTTTTTTTCATGCATGGCAAGATGAACTGGTGGCTGGGGGCACTTTGTGGGAGGGTGTGGGCTCGCTGGAGGTGCTGGTTTCACGCTACTGACTGCTGTGCTGTCCCCAGGAGCTGTACAGCCAGTCCTACGATGAGATCGGCGTCATGTTTGCCTCCCTCCCCAACTTTGCTGACTTCTACACGGAGGAGAGCATCAACAACGGGGGGATTGAGTGCTTGCGGTTCCTCAACGAGATCATCTCTGACTTCGACGCGGTAAGTCGGGCTGTAGCTGGCCACCAGGGCTGCGCGAGGCTACCCTTGGCCAATGTCTACTGCAGGGCGCATGTGGGTATCTCCTGCCCACACGCGTTCGTCTCAAGCACGACCCAACCCAACTAGCCCAGAAATGCCCTGGCCTGGGCTAAGCCCTACCTGGGGATGGGTCGGGGCCTGGCACGTTGGCCTGGGTTACACCATGCCCTGGTGGGCAGTGTCTGGGGTGCCGTTTGGTCCTGCAGGCAGCCACAATAAGTTGCAAAGTGAAGAGGCAGCTCGCAGGAGCCGGGGGCAGAGGGTCCCCGTGTTCCCACCCCACAGGCCCTGGGTCTCCGTGTCCCTGGCCTGGCCCGCTCTCAGGGATGCCGTGGCCCCGGGGCCCCTGAGGGTTGGTCTCTGTGGCCCAGCTCCTGGACGAACCCCAGTTCCGGTGCATCACCAAGATCAAAAACATCGGCAGCCCCCACATGGCTGCTTCCGGAGTGACCCCCGACGCCAACGCCAACGGCTACCCTCGGCCGGGACCCGCCACAGCCAGGCGTGCGGCGGGAAGGGCGGACGAGGAGGGAGGGTACGCCTGACCCCCCCACTGCCCTTGCAGAAGGAGTCCCTCTCGGATAAGGAGCGCTGGCAGCACTTAGCTGATCTGGCCGACTTTGCCTTAGCCATGAAGGTGACGCTGATGAACATCAACTACCAGTCCTTCAACAACTTCATGCTCCGCATAGGCAAGTCCAGCCATGGGGAAGGGAGGTGAAGGCCTCCAGGTCCCCCTTGGGAGGGCACGGCCTTCCTCTGCATCCTTGTCCCTCCTACCCTCATCTTCCCGCAAGCAGAGGGACATCTGGCAGCAGCCATAATTTAGAGACGTGATTGCAGCTGCAGGCAGTGGGGCTGGGCGGTGACTTCTCTGCCCCAGGCAGAGTAGCACAGGCAGAGCCCACCTGCAGGCCCTGCTGGGGCGTCCCAGGCGCGGGCTCACGTGGGGCGTCCTGTCCACGCTGCCCTGAACGCGGGGGTGACGTCCAGCCGCCCTGGTGCAGGCATGAACAAGGGGGCCGTGCTGGCCGGAGGGATAGGCGCCCGCAAGCCGCACTACGACATCTGGGGCAACACGGTCAACGTGGCCAGCAGGATGGAGTCCACTGGCGTGATGGGGAACATACAGGTAGGTGACACCCCTGCATGACAACCCAGTTTCAGGTGCCAGGTACGGACCTCCTGGCTTCCCCTTGTGTCCGCTTGCCCCCGCAGGTGGTGGAGGAGACCCACCTCATCCTGAAGGAGTACGGCTTCCGCTTCGTGCGCCGGGGGGCCATCTACGTCAAGGGCAAAGGGGAGCTGCTCACCTTCTTCCTCAAGGGCCGGGAGAAGCAGGGCTCCTTCGTCAACGGTTCCTCTGTCACCCTGCCCCACCAAGTGGTGGACAGCTCGTGAGGACCCCGGGTGTCCTGCGTCCGCTAGGGAACACAGCCACCGCCTCCCCGGCGCGGAGGGGAGACGGCTCCCCGTGCCTGCCGCTCGCACCGCCCC